TGCTCATCATTAGTCTCGTGAAGCCGCTTTCATATTGCTGTTCACTCACCGGGTTGATGCTCAGGAAATGCTCCGGCACAGCCACCGCATGTAACTTTTAACAAGATTCACTTGTTTAAAACACCCTTAAATTGTATTAACATTTACTATATAACCATTATTTCGCTAATAAACATCTAAATAAATACATCTCTATGGAAACTAATTTATTATCTCCGCGAACGATCGCAGTTTGAGTATAGTTCTGTGTAAATGCATAGATAAATCGCGCTGTCAGCGGGCATTTCATAATCTAGAACGACAAAAACATTATTAGTAATTCTGATATAACATGCCAGTTGAGAAATGCAATAAAATACAATGTTTTGTTTGTTATATTTCAATATTCCAGAGAATATCATTCAGTGAATTAACATTATCCAGTGAATTATTCTTCACTCTTTAGCATATTAAACAGCTTATACACCTACTAAACTGTAGTTTAAAATGAAGTTGATATGACTCCTTCCATTTATTTTCTCCATTTGAAAACAGGAGACCTTCTACATTTATTTTGCTTATTGTTAATATTAGTGTTGCTGCTGATGCTTTAATTAAAATGTTTTTTTTAGTATTTCAACACTCATGAACTCGCATTGTCATAAAGTCTAGACATATCAGAATTTTATAATTGTGATTTCCAGGTTTTGAATTTATGGAAATTAATGACATACTTCAAAGTCCAGGGAATGTAGTGCTTTTATATTGTAGGGTTTTTGTTGTCGTTAGATTTGTCAATAGGTCTCAGTGCATTCAAATTCTATGCAATTTCTATTTTTGTATGTTTTACATTTAATTTATTTTATTGAAATACTAACTAATAAACCTAAACGACACGACATGCTGAGCTAAGGTTGAACAAACACTGACAGAAACTGATGCATAACTGTGATGTTATTGCACTTAGGCCTATATATATATATATTATTTGTCATGCTGATTCTTCTATCAATTACTCAATTGGTTTCTAATCAGTCAATCAGATTTTGAAAACCACTCATTTGGTAACACATTTTAGGAATTGCAGCTCAGATTAGACTCGTTTTATTCTTAGCAGGGTAGTGAATCGTTGACACATTCGGTTGCAGCTGCACAGTAATGCCGTGGCTTTATGAAAGTAATATTGCATAATGTTTTCTTTGTAGGTTGAGGGGAGAGCTGTGCTCATCACGGGCTGCGACACTGGATTTGGACTGGCTTTGGCCAAGCACTTTCTTAAGCTCGGCTTCGCTGTGTTTGCAGGTTGCCTGTTTAAGGTAATGGTTCAACTATTCCTAAAATGTGCACCTCTGCTGAACTTCTGTCGGACCGCAGCTGATATATAAACATACTGTTGGTCTGAAGTAAAGGGAGCTTAATATGATGCAATATAGTTCACAAGATTGGGCTTGTGTCAGACCATTTCATAAGTCTAGCAGTATAACCAAAAGATAATTTCACGGTTATGCATATATTATCATATAGTTCTTTGTGGCTGGAAGTTGCATTCACTTGTTTGATAATTCAGAATAAACTAAATTACTCCCATTAGAATGAATCAAGTATACACTGTAAATGGCCTTGTGTGGCACAGTATGTAATGTTATACTGGTTTACTCCACATGTTTTGTGTGTGGATGAAGGATGGAGAAGGTGCAAAGGAGCTGGAGAACATTCATTCAGAGAAGCTGAAGGTTGTGCAGCTGGACGTCTGCAGCGAGGAGCAGGTCTCTCAGGCTGTTGAGTTTGTGACTGCTAACCTGGAAGAGGCGGAGAAAGGTGAGGGCTGTTTGCGTCTTCAGATCAGATCATCTCAGTTTGTAGAAGTTCATAGAGGATGGGCAGTTCAAAGGTCATTCGGGGAGGACCAGATGACCAAAACGGGGACGTTTCGGAGAAGTGCTATCCGAGTTTTGAATATTTATACACTGTTGAAATATTTATTAATATTCAGAACATAATTGTCATTTTTTTACTTTAAACTCCCGCCCACAAAAGCCCGCATAAAAGTAACCTATATAGATTTGATTCAGTACATCGATTGAAATGTATATGAAATAGTTCTGTAACATCTCGTAAGCTCCACAACATCCCAGCATAACTGAAGCTAAATTGTTATTTAGGCTAAGCATCAACATTCACAAACCACTGTTAGTTTTAACTGAAAAGCGAGCATGGTCTGCTGCGCACATCGTTTGGCATTGCAGAATGCGAGCAAACAGCTCTCCCTTTATATTGCTAAAAAGCTGACATCTCACACAATGAATATATGCATAATGAATCTTGCAGAATGTCTACACTTCATGCGTTATAATGAGAGGATGCGTGAACACGCAGTTTTCAGCACTGCGCAAGAACTTCTGAGCGGGGAGTGGATTCTGATTAACCATTGTGTTCCAGAAATCAACAGATATGTCTGTGATTGGCTACATTGCTCAAAGCTTTAAACACGTTATAAATAGAAACTCTATACGCTTGCGCATGTTAATCATTTTTGTTATATCTAAGTTGTTCTTGTTGCTTTTGTGCAATAGATAAAGCAATTGATATGTTTTTAGGTATTTTGTTTAGATATGTCTATTTTGCAGGAGTCCTGCAAATCATTTTATTCTCCCCCACACACACACACACACACACACACGTGTCTCACGGGAGTGCAGGTCTCTACTTTGGGTTACAAGTCCGACTCTCTACACATGTAAATATAATGTAAAAAAATATAATAATAAAAATTATATATATATATATATATATATATATATACACATACAGGTGCATCTCAATAAATTAGAATGTCATGGAAACCCATTTTCTACAGTATTTAGCTTTGAGTTATTTTATTTCAGTTTTATTTATAGTAACTTTACAACTTCAACTTATTTTATTTCAGTTAGTTGCCAAGGCAGTATTTCTCATTTTAATTTTAATCTGATTAAAAGTTTATATTCATATTTGATGTACAATTTTATATTTATGCTCTATTTCAGCTTCATTTCAGTTAATTCAATATTTACAGTCAGTCAAATGTTTTAATGGAAAGTGTTCTGGTGTGGCTGAAATTAAGGTGCCGTTTATTTGCAAGTGGGGGGAAAAAAACTGAAAAGTGTGGAACATTATAGTTAATTATGTTTCTGTAAAACCTCAAATGTGTTTTTCAATTTGTGAACTTTTTTCTTCTTTTACTTTTACATTTTTGAATGTTTATACAATTATATGCAGAATACTATTGTAGAATACAATACTTTATCCAATGTTTCCAACTTCAGACAGTCTTTAGAAAGCAGAATGACTTTGTATGATGTGTTAAAATGGTTAAATGCATATAATACATTCATATCTTCATTTTGACATCTCTATTTTGTTGCATCATTTTTTTTTAAAAATAGACCTAACAATATTTATGACACCCGTGCAGTTAATAAATAGTTTCTTATAAACCGTTTCTTCAGTGATCAGATTTATGCTGTTTGTTATTTTCTATCTGTGATTTTTAGCATGTAGATCTACTCGTATGGTTCCTTCAGGTCTAAACAGATGACCAATAATTAATCTGAAGGTCAGGTGGACGTGGCTAGGAATTGTTAAAGCTCATTTGTTTAGAGATAATAATGACCCCGCCCCCTGCTGTCAATCACACACAAAACCACACCCACCAGCTACAGCTGCATCGATGAATGATTCTTCATCACTCTTTATACCTGCTATAAACCATACGAGTAGATCGATGTACTAAAACTCAAACAGAAGATAACAAACATCATACATTTCCTTGAAAATGTGGCACACTGTAAAACGGTTTAGTTTACAAAACACAATAATATTACTGACTCCAACTCAGAACTGAAGCAGTATTATCCTCGTGTTATCTCCTTGATTTCAACACTTGAATATGGTGAAATAATATCTGTATCTGCTATCCAATAATATAACTGGAGCTTCTTATAAACTTATCACCTATAAGCAGTTGTGTGGAGTTTGATACTTCATTTTAGAGTTGTGTGTTCATTCAATAATAAACCCTAAATTCATGAAGAACGTTATTGTTCAAAATACAAGCAGGTTGTCATAAGTATTTTTGGGGTCAGGGGACTCATGAGGCCACAAGAGGGTGCTAGAGGCTCTGAGAACAAAAAAATGAGTGGAAAAAGATGCTACAGTACAGGGATGTCAAACTTAAAGGTCCCCTGAAATGCTTAGAAACATGCAGCGTTACTAAAAACTTTCATTGTGATTTCATGGGGACTTTAAGGTATGAATTCAATGTATTTAACAATAATATTTAATGCAATAACATTGATACTATACTGAGTTTACATCTCACAATTCTAAAATTTGTCTCAGAATTGTGAGACATAATCTTGCAATTGCGAGTTATAAAGTCAGCATTGCAATATATAAAGTCAGAATCTCAGAATTGTGAGATATAAACTCGCAGTTGCGAGTTATTAATTCCAATTCTGAGAGAAAACAGTGTGTTTTCTTACAATTGACAGTTTATATCACACACTTCTGAGAAAAAAAAGTCGCCAATACCTTTTTTTCTTTACTGGTGGAAGTGGACTTCCATATAGATCCTCCCATGTTACTGCTGAAATCCATCACAAAATACAACTTTGTCAGCTTAAGATTTCTTCTTGTAATGTTAAGATCACTAAATAATTACATATTTGTCCGATTTCCAAAAGTAGGTTTGTTTTTATCCATTTTTTAATGTGGCTCAATAAAATCCAATATATTAGCCGCCGTAGGTAAATAACGAGAAAAAAGTGCAAAACTATATGCACTACGATCTAGTTTGTAATTTTGACATTACTGCAATATAAAGCAGCATAACAGACTGCTTTTGTACAGCTGATATAACTGAAAGTGAATGGCACTAGAAGCTTCACACTTTCAAGCTACACATTGCCACCTCGCTCTCACTTTAAAAGGTGCTGTATGTAATTTGTTTGACTGTACTAAAGCATACAAATACCATATGTTTGCAGGTTTTTAGGAAACATGCTAAGTTCACATAATTGTTTCTTCGAAAAACAATGCTACAGCCAGTTATTCTACTTTGAAATGTTTGTTCCGTGTCAGGATGTCTGTTTTTGTTTTGGTCTGTGTGACTCCGCCCACTGCCAATTTACCCAATAGTATTTCAACACACCGGGTTGCCAGTAGGCGGAAAACATAGCATATTGCAGCAAAGGAAGCCAGCAAAGTCTGAGGAGGAGGGGGCGGGAGAAACAATGCTCTCCAATATTTTGAATTTGGACCGCAGTACCCAATTCGACAACTAGCTGTCAATATTAACTACTGCACCTTTAAAAATAAGGTGGATAAGCTATGAGGTTTAATAATTTTAAATGGTGAGCAAAAACTTTTTTATATTTACTTTGTTCATAACTGTGTGAATTTTATCAGGATGTCTGATCAGTGAGTTTAAGGGGCTTGGTGATTGTATCTTGCAGGTCTGTGGGCTGTGGTCAACAATGCTGGTATCTCCACATTCGGTGAGGTGGAGTTCACATCCATGGACACATACAAGCAGGTTTCAGAGGTCAACCTGTGGGGCACCATCAGAGTAACCAAAGCCTTCCTGCCTCTCATCCGCAGGGCTAAAGGTAAAGTTATGAACACACTCCATGCAGTCCAATTGTGTCTTCCTGCGGTCAACCTACTTTGAGAATGTTTCAGGCCTTTTGGTTTTGATGAACTTTCGGGTGTAGATAATATGTAATTTGGCTGAGTTTAACTCAAAAGTTCAGTTTGCAGACAAATGTTAATGTTTCTCTACAGTTTCCACATCTGTTAGTCTTTCACTGAATTAAAGGAATGTTTAGATCTTGTTTAGATCTTTAGATCTAGAGAAATTCAGACTACCAAATAATTTCATTAAACATGAAAAATGTATGCTTTTTTTAATTTAAAAAACCTACAGGAAAAAAAACACCTGCATCACTTGAAACATTGAAAAATAGCATAGAGAGAATAACTGTTATTATTATTCTCTCTCTGTTATGTATTTATTTTTTTGTGGGTTTCATGCTGCCCGCTAAGGCATAGGACACACACAGGCTTTCCTCCTCACCAACAACATTAAACACCGTGTCTACACCGGACGCGAGCGGCAAAATACGGTAGAAACCATTATAATCAGTGACGCTGTGTACACCGGATGCGGCGTGGCGCGTCCACAGACTGTATAGGGCGCGACACGACAAAACCCGACATTAAACTGATGCCTTGTTCTATTTATGACGTACTGACACAAAGTTAAAATGATTTGCAACGGTCGCTTTGTCGCGTCCAGTGTAGAGCTGTTGTGGCGTGACGTGACAACTGTAGCGTCTGGTATAGACACGGTGAGTGAAGATGAGAGCAAGATATACCTCGTCATATTTTCTGCATTTAGCTTTTAAATGACCAGCACCTGCCTGAGTCTGTGTGACTTCATCTATGGCTTTTCTCTTCACTTTCACAAACCGATCCATCTCCCATTCTAAGTATAGTATGACATTTGGAAACACTAGGATTTGGGATTCACAATGCTGATTTTACAAACTATATACAGTAGGATGGATTGCATGGGAACAGGAATGACATCAAATGTTGGCCACCGGAGTGAGCAGTTGAGCGGGCATCTGTCGCCATCAACCTCTTCTTCAACAGAAAAACACTAACAGTTTTATCAAATAGTGTACTGAATTATGTCTTCGCTCTCTTACACATGATGTAATTGCCTAATAAGGACCGTGTGTTTGCTTGGCTTTCTTGCTCGATTTCCTGTCGTGTATGTGAGTTTCTGGACATCCCGTAAGACTAGTTAAGAAACTTCCACTACAGTTTGCCTTATATTTAATATAGCTAGTACAGTGTGTACAGCATTCTCATCTAATATTTTAGGGATTTTCACTGGCTTTGGTTGAGTACATTTCTGTATTTAGGGAACGATGCAGACACAAGTAATTTCGTTCTTAATGGTCACACGGTACCCCTGTTGCTCTCTATCAAGTACTTTCTCTTCTTATAGCTGACATTTCACATAGTTTGTATGAATATTGCCCGTTTCTTGCCTTAATTGTTTCACTCACAGCATGTGTGAAGCATTTTGATTCCCAGCAGGTCTTCATTAAACGCTAACAATATAATTTCCATAACAGCGGAACACAAAATCATGCAGGATGACTCATTTCAAATGACATTTACTCAAGCACTTATATATAGTTTTAACCTCTGAAATTGTGATGCCACGTTTATGCTCTGGATGACATTAAAGAGATGTCAGCATTGATTTATGTAGTTTATGTCTTCCTTTGTACAGTCTGATAAACTCCTCTTACATATGAGGAAGAGTTTCATCTTCATGGAGGCAGGGAGCATACAACTACATTTGATTTTCTCAGCACCTCCAGGCCCATTTACGGAAACGGTTCACTCATAGTTCAGATAAAATGAGGTTACTCAGTAAAACTGGTCCATTCAGCCCACAACAGCAACTATGCTTGCTTTTCAGTAGAAGATCCAGGGGCCTGAATTAAGAATTCATCCTTTTGTAACAATTAATGACATATTAGCCAAAACATAATACAAAACTGTTACAGTGCCGCATAATTCAAAGCATTGTCCAAGCTTGGATGGATCATTCTGACCCAAAAAGATTTTCAGTATAAACTGAAATCACAGAAAACCACCATGTTCCCAAAAGAAAGGGTCACACACAAAAAAAACTGAGTCTACATGATTGATAACAACAGTACCTTTTTCAATTTCTAGTTACCTCATAAGCTGACAGGTATACGCTTACAACCAGCACAGATACTAATAGGTAATCATGTTTGCATGGGTCTACTTACCTTAGTCAAGAGTAGATGCAATATTTGACACAAATTAAAGCTGCGAAGCAAAGATTTTGTTTTGTTGCCCACTGAAGGGTGTCCAATCCTGCCCTTAGATCAGTGGTTCCCAATCCTGGTCCTGGAGAACCCCCAACACTGCACATTTTAGATGTCTCTCACCTGATTCAACTCATCAGCTCATTAGTAAAGACTCCAAGACTTCAAATGTGTGTCAGATAAGAGAGACATCAAAAATGTGCAGTGTTGGGGGTTCTCCAGGACCAGGATTGGGAAACACTGTCTTAGGCCATGTCCACACGTACACGGGTATTTTTATAAACTGAGTTTTTCCTTCTTCCGTTTAAAAAAAAAAAATCTCTGTCCACATGAAAACGCAAACGTATGCTATGAGGCACTGTCAAGAGCATGCCAAACCAACAGGTGGCGATATAATCTCAACCGTACAGCCATGTTGGCCAATCAGAAGCCTGAAAAATAAAAAATTCCAAACCAGAACCTATTTAAATTTGCTTGCAAAAATTTGAGCATCTACATAAATGTATTACTCTCTTTTTATTATAACTTTTTTATTTTGAAATTTAAGGTTATACAATTAATAAACTGCTGTGGCAGTTTCGACCTTGCATTACTTGCTTGAAAACTCAGAGAATTGTCACAAACCGTCCGCTACTCTTCCGTAGTGCAAGGGCTAATGGGCATTATTAGCCCAAACACCTCAGATACAGTATGACATTTGGAAACACTAGGATTTGGGATTCACAATGCTGATTTTACAAACTATATACAGTAGGATGGATTGCATGGGAACAGGAATGACATCAAATGTTGGCCACCGGAGGGAGCAGTTGAGCGGGCATCTGTCGCCATCAACCTCTTCTTCAACAGAAAAACACTAACAGTTTTATCAAATAGTGTACTGAATTATGTCTTCGCTCTCTTACACATGATGTAATTGCCTAATAAGGACCGTGTGTTTGCTTGGCTTTCTTGCTCGATTTCCTGTCGTGTATGTGAGTTTCTGGACATCCCGTAAGACTAGTTAAGAAACTTCCACTACAGTTTGCCTTATATTTAATATAGCTAGTACAGTGTGTACAGCATTCTCATCTAATATTTTAGGGATTTTCACTGGCTTTGGTTGAGTACATTTCTGTATTTAGGGAACGATGCAGACACAAGTAATTTCGTTCTTAATGGTCACATCACCTGATTCAACTCATCAGCTCATTAGTAAAGACTCCAAGACTTCAAATGTGTGTCAGATAAGAGAGACATCAAAAATGTGCAGTGTTGGGGGTTCTCCAGGACCAGGATTGGGAAACACTGTCTTAGGCCATGTCCACACGTACACGGGTATTTTTATAAACTGAGTTTTTCCTTCTTCCGTTTAAAAAAAAAAAATCTCTGTCCACATGAAAACGCAAACGTATGCTATGAGGCACTGTCAAGAGCATGCCAAACCAACAGGTGGCGATATAATCTCAACCGTACAGCCATGTTGGCCAATCAGAAGCCTGAAAAATTTTCCAGTAGGCGGAGATAACAGCGCAGGCTCCGACGTCGCAAGCCAAAAACTCCGGTTTCGCTGTCTACACGATAACACTGAAACCTGAGTTTTTGAAAATCTTCACCGTGGCAGGCGTTTTTCAAAAGTGTTCGGTTTCAGTGACCTGGTGCTGCATTTGTGTGTGGACAAACGGCCAAACTGTGTAGAAAACGCTGCGGTTTTAAAAATAACCGCATTCGTGTGGCCAAATTCTTGCAGAATTTACTTCTTAAGCTAATTAAACACATGAACCAGCTAATCAAGACCTTCAGGATTACTAGGAATTTCCAGCAGGTGTGTTGGAGCTAAAACCTGTATGAAAATGGGCCCTTCAGGAGCAGGACTGAACACCCCTAGTATAACCCACTGAACTTAAATATGGCTTTTACCCTGACTAAGGTCAATGTCAAGGGTGCCAAAACCTACTTCCAGATCTTCAGACTCACTAGAAACTTCTAGGCAAGAGTGTTGAAGCTGGTTGGAGCTAAATTCTGCAGGACGTTGGCCCTCCAGGAGCAGGATTGGACACCCCTGGTCTATATGGTAAGGTCACTTCAGTCAGGAGACGAATCATGATAAGTTCCCCAACGTGGATGTTTGTATGACCAGGATATGGTCCATGCACACCAGTCACTTATCGGGTGTATTACGCACATGCAAAGCGATACTCAAATAACAATCTTATAATAGTGTAGACGAACACCAAAACTTTGGCTCCAACAACTGAGATGAAGGCACATTTTAAAGCACAAACTGATATGACTACACATCTCAGAAATCCCTCATCCAAAACAAGTGGATCTCAACTGGTTGATCAAAACCCAAAATTGAGTAGTAGGGTTGTTCTCATAGATAAATATTATCCAACAAGTACTTGCATGTCTCAGCGATCCTCTCTCCCCACACACACACACACTCCCCAAAAAAATCCTCATTCCTCAACTCTCGCCCCAGTCCAGCTCCGAACAGCTGGACAAGTAATTATGGTCATAGTGATGGTCCCCTGGAGAAGAGCCCAGATCATCACCCTACTCATAAGGCTTCAGAAAAGAAACGTCCATGTTTTTCCAACTTGAAACAGAGACGTGTCCAGGGAAGTGTCTTTCCCATTGCCTGGTCCAGCAAACATGCTTATCTATGAAGTTTTACATATAAACATCTGATCCTCAATGGAACATCTCTCTCCGTTTATCATAAACTGTTGAAAACGAAAAGGAAGCAGCACTGTGGATCTTGATCGCCAAGCGAAGAGGATCCTTCCTTGAAACCTGAGCTCACAATGCTGCCTTCATGCTGACACACTTTCATTCATCCTCTACACTACAATACATATGCTCATTTGAGAAAGTGTGCAACCAAATGAGTGCAAAGCAAAGACGAACACCTGATGAAACTAAACCAACCCACCACCACCATTGATAACAAAAACCATACCCAATTGTAATACATCAGTTGTAATGCGATTGCAGCCTTGATCATGAAAGACTGTTTTTATTAGTAAAACACTGAATCATAAAAGACCTATTGTGTACACAAATTTGGTTTAATTTTCTTTAATCTTCAGTCATGGCATTGCAATTCAGGCTCCAATGAAGATCTGCAAATCTTGCACAAACTCCCAAATTCAAATAAATGTCTAGTAGAAGACATTAATCACAGCTAAGCCCTTTGACAAAGCGGAGACATCATATTTATGGCATGGCATGGATTCTGACAGTTCCAAGATGTCTGAATAAATGTAGGACTCTATTGTCAAAGCTAGCTGACAAACCACAATAATAAGCACCTTGATTGTCACGGAAGCAGAACTTCTGAAACTTTACCCCTCATAAATACAGATGTCATCCTTAACGAGACCTCATACTTTAATGTTGGAAACATGCAGTTGCAAGAATATAGTTCAAGATTAATCCCAAAATGATTGTGCCTAATTCTGAATATTGGTTTTGGTCACTCACTTTTATTGTTGGAGCATTTTGCAGAAATATTGATTCCTAATAAATATAGCAGATTATGTAAATTACAACAGTTCTGTGTGGTTCAGGCATTGCAGGCAGTAAAAGACAGTATGTGAGACCTCTGAAAAATGTTGAGAAAAGTTCTTCTGCAGTCAGGACTTCCAATAGCAGAAACTTGAATTGACAGTAAAAAAATTGGCAGGGAAGTTAAAGAACAAATGAAAAATACATTTTGGAAATCAATGAAAAGAATATACATTAACAAAAGAAGACCTAGGTTGTAATTCTAATACATGTTGACATCAAAATACACTGCATCACCTATGGTCTAAACATTTTTGTATTTTGATACATTGGGCGTGTCCCTCAATGAAATTCAAGCAAGTTTCTGAGCGAATGAACGGGAGTCCATTGTCCATCTCTCCCTGTACCTCCCTTTCTTGGAATGCTTGATATTCCCAGTCTGTCTGGAAGTGTAGTCATTGTTAACTGGATATTCTTTCTACTTGGATCAGGAGGCAGCCAGAGCCTTGACCAGGTAGAGTTTGTCGCCCTGTTCGCTGGTGAAGATGGGCGCTTTTTTGTAGTGTTCCACCAACTCCTCCATTGAGTTAAACTTGCGTTGTCCGATGCAGTACAGGTTGTCCTTCAGTTGGACTTTGAAATGCTTGTTTTTGGACTGAGCTTTCAGCGATATTGAAAAGTCATTGGGCTAGAACACAAAAAATAGAGAGAAAGGGACAAAAATGGTCAATTTAGACCAATTTTTGAAAGCAGGAATCTCAGCATAAACAGCCTATTTATCAGAATATAAGAAGGAACATTTCTGTCTACTTACTGAGGACTCACTGTCCCGGATAAGAAAGTCTCCCTCTGTGCCCCTCTGGTTGAGTGCCACCTCTGCCTGATGACGCGTCACCTTCCCATAGTACCACTGCTTGCCAGCGAAACGTCCGCTGGATGAAGGCTCAATGTAGTCACAGTCAGGTGTGGGCGGCCCGGCCATGCTGGCTGAGTTGTGCGACTCCTGCAGAACAGTCACGTAGTTCTTCGGCACAAGTCCCATCTGCCCATCGGCTTTGCGACACTTCCACCACTCTGGGTCGTTTTCTGGCTTCTCCACAACATCCATAACCTCCCCCTTCTCAAAGTTCAGCTCTTCATCGTTGCCCGAGCTGAACGGGTAGAGTGCCTGTACTGTGTGCAGCACCCGGTTGCCGTTCGCACTATGAACAACAGCAGCCAATTTCTCAGACAAGCCGGCAGAGTCGTTGCTCGCCGATCCATCTGCATCCTCCGTCACGTAGTTGGATGGGAACCATCCTGAATGGCCGTTGTAGCTCCCCCTCCACCAGCCATCACTGCACTTCTCCATGACGATGACCCTTGTGCCCTTAACCAACGACAACTCATCTTCCCGCTCGGCCGTGTAGCTGAATTTGACAAGTGCAGGAAGGTTTAGGTCGTACAGACGTTCACCATTGTCCGGGCACAAGTCCGAGTCGGCGTTAGAGGCGGTTTCACGCATGCCTGTTTTCCGTTTCACCTTGCCGATCCCTGCATACATACAGAAAGAAAAGCCATTAAGGATTTCCCAAATACACAACTACTTGTGGCATTGCAGATGAATATTGCAGTCAGTGTGGATGCCCAAGAAAATTGGCAATGCAAAAAAGTTGAGCAGAGGTCAACTTCATTGAAACTAATGAGTGGGACTGCAATGTTTCAAGTCCACCTTATATGTTAACAAATCACCTTTTCAGAGCTTGTTGCTGCATTGTAGGTTTGCCTTTTACATGAAGAATATGTAAAATACTGCTTTAGAAAGTGGCTGATACAAGGTACAAGGCAAAATGAACAGACTTCGTTTCATGGGGACAGTGGCCTAATGGTTAGAGAGTCAGACTTGTAACCCAAAGGTCGCAGGTTCGAGTCTCAGTTCTGGCAGGAATTGTAGGTGATGGGAAAGAATGAACAGCACTCTCTTCCACCTTCAATAACCCTTGAGTAAGGTACCAAACCCCTAATTGGTCCCAGAGCGAGCAAAGCAAAAATGGCTGCCCAATACTCCGGGTGTTTGTTCATGGTGTGTGTTTGTGTGTTCACTAATGTGTGTGCAGTTGGATGGGTTAAATGCAGAGCACGAATTCTGAGTATGGGGCACTATACTTGGCCACACGTCACTTCACTCACTCACTCAGAAGCATTTTCCTGACACCTTCAAATGCAGCCTAGGTAGGCAAACAGACTAGGTTTTGTTTCAGTTTAATGCAATAGCTTCTTGACAGTGAACTTCAAAATAGCACATTTAATTAAAGGCATCCGTAAGGGAGTGTTGGGTTAGGTCCATGGATACTGTCGAGGATTCCGACTTGTCTGACCACATTAGGTCAAGCCAAGCGGGCTGTTCTGGAGAATATCTGACCCCGAGGCCTTTTGACTATGCTGCCAGGTTTGGCAAAGGTTTGTGAATAGTGTTACCATGCAGGAATGTCCACTTGGCAGTGAAGTTTGTACCGGCCCAATCCAAAGGCCCAAGGACAGATAAACACTATTTCTCTTTACATACCTTACAAAAATGTAATGCAGCAACAAAATGATGGTATTAAACTGTAATACCATGGTCATTTATATAATACAAAATGCATGGCACTACTATGGTATTACCATAGTATATCTGCTGGAAAACAACCTAAACTAGCCCAAGGTTGTTTGCTGGTCTAAGATGGTTTGTTCAAGGTAAAGCAACCCCCTCTAAAAACCATTAGATTAGACCATTCTCACCAGGGGAAAAATAAGTCCACCAAACCACCTTAGGCTGGTTTACCCTGTTTTCAACATGGATCTGTCCAAACAGCTATCTGGGAAGTAGGCAAACTCAGCCTTTATATTTATATTTTAAATGAATATACCTGAAGGCATTGCTCAAGAAAAATACTTACCAGATGTGATTTAACAAAACTTGACAACCGAGAAGCAGGTGAAACCTTGGAACCTCTCTTACCTAATCTGAAAGGAAATCGCCCAATTTACTTTATGCTTACTCAGGGGTTAAAGGTTAACAGTGACAACAAAGCTTTTCCAACGGCCCTTTCTGCTTTGAGCGAGATGCTTATCAAAGCTCAAGGCCAGAAGAGTTTACTCTGTGCTTGCGGATACCTCTACTGCCTGATTTGCATGACAAATATATGAAATCCAAAAACAAGATATATTTGCCTCTGACCTCTAAGCGATGTCCGATTAAGGGGGATTGACATTTACATGATCAACGTGAGCAGGACATGAATGTGAAGTGTACAAGCGATACTAACTGGAGCATTTAGTGCCTCATGCGTGGACGTGTTGGTGCATGTAACCACGGCTGTGTGAATCTTCTGACAGCATGACTTTGACTCTTCTACAAATTCAAACTACTTTTCTTAAAGGGATAGTTTACCCCAAAATGAAAATTCTGTTACAATTTATTCACCCTCATATAATTCCTTTCCTACGAGCTGTCATGACCATATCATTAGGTCAGCGAGTTAATGAGAACCAGATCAATATGATTCATGACAGAATCATTCAAAAAGGTTTTGTGAACAGCTTGATCGATTCATTAAAAAGATTTAAATTAAAAAAAAGTTTGCATATTGCTACTTTTTCAACAACAAAAACGGCATCTAATATTTGAGTCATCATCACGCAAACCTATCGTATGGCTTCATAAGACCTGGAATATAGTGAAAAAGTAGTTTATGATATTGTGCTTTTGTGTCCTTTTTGAAACTTGAAAGCTTCAGTGTGTAACTGTATCGAAAAGAGTGACCAGAATAATTCTCCAGAAGAAAGTCATAGGTTTGGCAAGACATAATGGTGAGTAAATGACAAAATGTTCACTTGTGAGTGATCTGATTCATTAAAGAAAAGAAAGAAATTTGAATAAAGTAGTGTGAATAAATGCAAATCTGGACTTAAGTGCAGGTTAAAATATACAAGGATTATAAAGGCAAATTTCAAGTTGTCACTTGTTAAAACAGGCAACTGATCTTGGCTGTGTGAATGTTCAGACCAGTGGTGGTGGTTTTCTTGAGCGTGATGCGACTGATGTTGTTTCACGAGACAGGGAAGGTAATCCACCCACTCAGTCATTGGATCAGTCAGTCTACATGGTCTCTAGAGAGCTGACATGGACAGTTTACGCAAGTTTATTTTCAATTCTCTTAACTAACACTCTCAGACAGTAACTGACCACATCAACACAAACACACAATTTCCCAAACCGGTTGGATCACACATGGTGGGTGTATCCCACTTAAGTATATGCTTTTTTAACACTTGGAATTGTGCTTTTTAAAAATAGATCTGTACATTGAAGAAAATGTTAATGACGCTTGTCAAAAAACTCACCACCATAATGCTAGGAGGTTTTGTCCCACCCCAAGTCTCTATGAGTCCATGGATTGTGCTGCTGATAGAACAAAACACATTGTATAGAGCCATGGTGTGTTTCCTGAATACAGAATTAGGAATGTTCCTGGATTCCTACGATGGACGCTCAGGAAGGAAGCTGCACGCTTTTGCATGGCCATATATCAGTGTCTGTTTTTTATTATCCACTCCAATATTAGTTAACTTTTAAATCAATTTTGACCAAAAACTGTCATTTACAACAAACTGGTAACCATTACAACTTGTAAAACCCAACAGAGTTTGATTCATCTAAAGCTTCAATCCCTCCCGCCCAACAGACTACATCCACTTCCCTTCCATTTTTAAGTCTTTCCTGTGAGTGCAACACGAGCCAACTCAGATTAGTTGTTTCCTATGGTGAGTTCATCCTATTGTTCTCCAATAAAAGGCTCTACTCCATTTAAAAACAACATACAGCTATGAAAAGGTGGATTTTATGCTAGGTAAATATATGACATGACAAAATAAATAAATGATAAGTGTGGAAAACAAACATAATCTAAGTCTTGGTAGTACCATGGAAAATGTATTGTTTCTGATGGGAAATATTTAAATATATACCATGGTACTGATTGATGACCATATTCATACACCATGGTGTTTACAAGATGCTTAATGGTACTTTGAAGAATATTTGTCATGGTATGGTACATGTCCACATGACAGCTGGCATATAGTTGCCTACAAAAATCATACAAGAACGAGAAAACGCAAAGATATTGTTTGTCATCTGAATTTTCGGAGATTATGCAAAATGTATCCAAGTGCATGAATGAAGGAGATGCAAGCAAAACTCTGAAAACAGGAAAGAAAAATCACTTGCACTTCTAACGTAAAAAGCTGGGCTCGAAGCCAAGCGGAAAACAAGACATTCGTTCAACTCAAAAAAGACAAGACATCAAAAAGCCTCCAATGACAGTGACTGTAAACCACAGAGCCGTCTTCAACTGCTCAAGAATGTGTGCACATCACATGCTCGCTCGATGCACAAATAAATTAAAAACTATCTGCAAGGAACAGACCTCGAAACTCATTTTAACTTCCCTAAATGAAACACCAAATGCTCAACAACAGCTTAAAAAACCTAGCTAATGCAAAGACACATTCCGCAATAATGGGTGAAATATTTCATACCAACAATAAACAAATAATAATAATAATAATTTTAGTTAAAATCTGATGAAATAAAAATGTGTGTGTGTGTGTATATACAAGTAATAAAAAAAAAAATTTAAAGACTATTTTAGTCAGTTATTTTCTTTATTAATGACATTTTTAACACAAAAATAGCTGATAACTGAAATTCTATACTACTGTAAATACATTTTTGTTTTAAATTCAATTAAAAACAAAAATATATTTTTTTATTTGTGTATTTATATTAAATTTATTACTTATATTAATTATAATAATGCTAAAGGTTTAAGATGACATAAAATATATATATACACATTTTATATGATTTTCAATGCTGTATTACAGTAATGATAAGTATACACAAATTATACAAAATACAGTAGATTTATTTCTTTTGATTTTGAGGTGAAACATTTCGTGAGATTCACCCTTATAAGCACTGACGCTCATTTCTGATGCAGGTACTCTGTCAACATGCTGGAATAAATAGCCTCCGTTGCACATCTGTGCTTGTTTGGCTGGCGCAGGTCCGTCGAGAGCAAGCGGCAACCTCTCGCTCTCTCTCGTGAAGCCAACACGGAAGTGACTTCAACTGTAATTCGTCAACTGGCCGCTAGAGGCTGGCTGCAAAAGGGAGTCAATCCCATAGACTCCCCATGTTAAAATGCCCAACTTTACAGCAGAAAAAAAACATGTTTACAGCCTGGTTCAAAAAATTATTTTTGTCTATATAGCTAATTGTGCCCTTCATGACAACTGTGAGGGGGGGGGATTTTTTTTATAACTCATCCGTTTAAATTATATTAAGCCTTAAAGTTCTGCATAATTAAGGGCATGGCCACTTGAGTGACAGGTGGATTACCGCTGCTGTCACCAGTGTCGAGCTAGGTGGGCGTGGTTTCAGCAACCAGCACCCGCCTCTTTGCCCATTTTCGATTATCCGGGAGTGACGCGCGGTGTCGCGCTGCCAAGACGGCGACGACCGGCTCCGCTTACTTTAGGTTAGTGCTGGGCAGTATACCGGTTCATACCGAATACCGGTGTTTATTTGTGTTATGATATGAATTTTTTAAATACCACAATACCGGTGTATGCCGCTTAAACAATGTTGGGAACGCGACACTGTTTGAAAGGGGTCCCTTTTCACTGTTGCACTGTGGTGAGGGAACAGCTGTATGTGTTACTAAGCGTGAAAGCTCAGAAACTGAAGCTGTAGAACCAATAGAACGTGATGACACAGAAGAACTCATCCACAATATCCACACTGACCTCCACAAATATCCACCGCACCCTGCCATCAGCTCCCGCGTCTCACACACACACACACACACACACGAGCGTGACTTCAGCACTAGATTTAGCAACTTTCAGACCTTTTTAGTGGCTCTTTTTCCATAGAATATTCATACTGACAAACCTAGCGACTTTTTTGGATAAAACTTAGCTATGGTTCAGTTGGAAGATTTCTCCAGTGCTGTCCCGCGAACGCGAGGTCTGACTTTCCCGGCGCAGTGTCATCTCTCGGCGTCTGTTCTGTGCAGTGAGCGGCACAGAAGCAGCGCATTCAGTTGGCCGCACCGCAGCCGACTCGTCAATAAATGAGTACAAAACAGCGTTTCCTAGCACCTGTCGCTTAGACAGACGCTGTGTGTT